TAATGGAATCTTTTCAATTTCCAAATAGCAACTAAATCCCTCCGATAGAGCTGTCCACAGCGGCTAACCACCTACTCTGACCATTTCATTTGTCGGACCGTCCTACCCTCGGGATCTTCCTCTCTTTTTGCTGAACGGTATGCCGCATTTCTCGTATGAGGACAGGGACGGCACTTTTTTTGTTGTTGGAGTGAGGGAATGAAGTACGCAGATCTTCGATGCGAAGAACGCCGTGTAAACGTTCATTCGGATAGACTGCGTCTCAGCTCTCTCAAACGGCAGTGCAAAATTCCCGTTCTTCAGTGCCGTGATGGTCGACTGAAAAATCTCTGCTATTTTTTAGGCTCCTGCATTCTTGAGCTGTTTCATATGGGTTTCCCAACCGGAAGATTTCGAAATCCTCATTAAGCTTCCGTCTAGTGAGCTTGTAGGGAAAATGGACTCCACCCTGTCAGTCTTATCTCTGTTCATCATTATTTTCTATGGCAAACTATTTGTCTCCTCTCAAATTCTTCCAATCAATCTCTTTAACGTTGCCACCTCAGCTGAGTTACGCCCGCCTCAGTTTCTCGGCAAACGTTTCGCAGCCGTCATCGCACCTGCGTTTCAAATTTCAGACTTCGTTGGAAATGTGCGGTTGTCCCACTACATCGCCCAATGCCTTCGGTTGTTGCATGTGATTTTCCATCTGCAGCACCTTGCTCTTGATTTTCTTCTCGAACGTTGCCCTCATCCTCACTAATCTGTGGTCGCTACCGGTATCAAATGATGGCACTGCCTCAATTTCTCGTACGATAGGGCGTTTATCGAACAGGGCGAAGCACATCTCGTTCTTCATTTCCGCACAGGGCACCATCCTTCTCAACACTAAGACTGGTCTTCTTCTTAAACCAGGTGATGACAACATTCAGCTATTTCATTTCTGCCATTTTCATTAACCGATCTCTTCGCGCATTTCGGTCTTTAGCCTTGTGTCTTCCGATGAACGTTCTACTGGCCATGGCATTGAAATCTCCAATGATGAGGGCGTATGTGGTGGACTCTGGGAACAACGCCTGGTGCAGTTTGTGTGCAGACCTTGCAAAATTTACCTCGCTCTAGACCGACCATGAAAACGCAAGATTCGATACGTGCTGATTGAAATCATACTGCAGATGACGTACACGTGCTTTTGGGAACGGCACTGGTTGCTAACGCGAATTAGCTTCCGCGCTCGAAGAACAGGTGTAAAAGAATCCATCCGTCGTGGAAGACGTTTGATCTGTGACATACATATCGTGGAAACTCCAACTCTGATGACCATCGTGGTAGCTTGTGTCTGTCAAATAATTCCGCATTGGAATATTGCAGTTTTTTCAACTCCAGTTTGAGATAAGGTCCTGGGTCCTATGTACTGCAGGCGCTTAAATATCATTGAATCATGACCTGTTCAAATTGCCCC